GTTGGATTATTTCGTTTAGTGGCATAACAATCTCTATTTCTAGTTATTTAATGTTGAAATATAAATATTATGTACGTAATTTTTTGGGGAGGTGTGAGTTAATAATGGTTTTAGTCATACCAGTTTTACTAATTAACCGATAGTAGAGCGAACATTGTTATTTGTTCTTCTTTCTGATAAGACAATACGTGTTCCCTTATGATTGGATTTTTAAATTGTATTCGTCTATTGTGACAAATTTAGAAATAACCGTTGATTAGAATAATGAAATAATGTTTTGAGAAAAAAACACACACAAACTTAATCCTTAATCTACGCGTCAAAATTTGAAGATACTGGTATCTTCTACAATTTTCTTTACTTCTGATATTAAAAATGAAATCATCAACATCAGTTACATGTACATGTATAGAGAAGTGTAGCACATAATAGGTCCTAATTTGGACCGTCCAAACAGACAGAACCAACCGAAATAAAACAGAAGTTGTTGAAGTGACGTTGCTGCAAATAAGCTTGGAAATTTCACTGGAATTAAATGTTAGTGAAGTATCCGGTTACCACCCTTAGTTTTATTGCCGTATCAGACCATCAAGAAATGGAAACAGAAGTCAATTATTTGCACTTAGGCATAAAAATGTCCAGATTAGCGCACCATTTTCTAGTCTCCATTACGAAAAACATCGTTGTCGGAATGATGTCAAACTGTGTTGTCCATTATGAGACACTGTTTCGAGGTTACGATCCAATAAAGTACAACTTTGTTTTTAGCGTAGATAAAGCAAAGGACTAAGCAGAATGGTGTTAATCCGAAAACTCAGGAAAAACTGGTTTGAATCTTAAGCCTGCAAGATGTTCTGTTCGTAAATCAAAATCTGGTGAAATTAAACGTTAAGTCAGAAATTGCTGACCGCTGTCGACACAAAATAAAATCATTTTGGAAAGGTAATCATGTTTAGAAACATCAATTCAGGTCGTAAATTGTTCCCTTTCCTTAATGATTGTCTTAATAAGTCATAAAAACTTTTGACTTCTCTTATGTAGAAAATATTTAGTCACCTTAATGGTATGTAATGGTTAAAGAGCTAGTCTCATATACCATTACTCATGTCGAGAATGTTATTTGCTGCTGGGTGCCGAACGAATGTAACCTTGTGCCAAGCTTTGGAATAAATGTTATATATATATTACATGCAACTTGTATAAAAGTCTGGTAATAAGGAAAATATTAAATAGAATATATTGGCAGCAGTTCTGTTTCAAATACATACACTTTTGTCATAAATGAAACTAAAATATGATTTTATGATTCGATATTGTTTTCAATTTTTTTTTTAATTTCCTTTGATGTAACAATGAAATATCACACGATCATGATTTTGCTGTAATAATTTTCCGTCGGTCGTAAAAATAATTTTTCCCACCGGCAGAGAATAAGCGAAAAGTCTGCAAAAATCATAGTTTAGATATCTTGTCTGATCACAAACCGTGGGCTGATATCTTTCTGCAGAAGTAAATGTCTACTGGGACAATATATTTGGACTGTTTGCGAAGCTTAAATTTATTTGATATAATACTGAAGTATTCAATACCGAAGAAGGGACGATCTCTTAACACTAGTTATTGCATTCACTTACGATTATTTCCGCTGGGAAAAGTTCTTCTTCCTGCAGCAATGGGTAAATTGAATTGCTACTGGTCTACCGCAGAAAAAAATCGCAACCTACTGCGGGAAAAAAATCTGGCTCGTAAGTCATGTATCGAAATGATTGCCTAAGCGTGTATCACGCGTGGCAGATAGCTGACTGCGGAGGAGTTCCAAAACAGTCGAAACGTCTGTCAAGTGCTTTCTGCATTCTACTGAGGATTATTCTGGACTGAATCAATTAATATGAATGATTATTCATATATATATTTCATAAATTAAAAAAGAAAAACGGATTGATAATAAAAAAATAGTATATTAAATAAATACATATATCTAGTGTAAAATTACTGTTGTTCAACTTTAGACTAAGAAGTTATTCATGTAACTACATACCTATACGCGCGCGTTCGCCGTTATCGTTTGTAAGATTCTTATAAACACAGATACCTAATATGTATAAATACTTATTAACATTTATGAAACTAAGTTCCTCTTACACAAAGTAATACCTTCGGGTCACCTAGTGAGGATTGAATTCACTACGGTATTAATGGTGTACGAAACTTGTTTTCTAAACTTAACTTCAAGTCTAAGCCTCGAAGTGTTTTCTAATTATAGTCTGTTCAGTCTAAAGTCGAAATGACATTCATCAGAGGTCAAGTGAAAGTTACAAATCATTCATTGATGGCGACTAAATAAAGTGGTGCATATAATTCCAAGTTCTTCCAAATAATTTCTTGTTATTTCATCAAATATTGAGACGTTAGTCGATTCATGAATAGTGAAAAGAGCTTCCTAAATAAAAACACTTAGAATAACTATACAACAAATCTGCAAACGCTGGCAACAAGAAAAGTTAGCAATAACGACATTTACGGATCAAAAAAACCTTTTAAATCAAAGGCCCGAGTTTATGAACCGTTGCCTTCATACAAAAAATGAAATAACAAAATTAGTAATTAACAATGCATGGTTACCCTCCTTTTCACTGCAATTGTCAATTGCAAACACACACACACACACACACACACACATATATATATATATATATATATGTGTGATAAAAGGTATGGTATATAAAAGTGAACATTGGGGACAACACACACCGGCGACAGTCTTTTTCAGGTTTAAACTTAATTGTCAAGCCATGTGCATTGTGTTTTAGCTCAACTATTTATATATGCTGATCAGTAATACATTATGAGTGGGTTTATTGTATTATTCTAACGGTTATTGGGTGAGCGGTAAAGGTTATGGTTCAAATTATTTTAGGGCTATTGAGTGGAATCCGAATACAGTTTCGTAGTTATTAGATAGTGGTGTATGTTAACTTTATTATTTGTTATTAATGGTTATTATTACGTTTTCTTGTGTTTATTCGTGCATTCGTAGTTCGATTTGTTTTTTGTTTTTTATTTCTCTACAATTTTAGAAAACATCGTGCTTTTCACGTATTTAATATATGCAACGGAATATTTTGTACGTGTAGTTTCTTTGTTTCTAGGATACTTCAGTTAATACTATGTATATTTTTCTGCTGATTTTACAGTGCTTTCATGTGTGAAATTGTTCTGTAAAGCATTTTCTTTTAAAGGATATTAGTTCTTTGCTCTGCCCTTACCCGTGGGCATGATTGTTGTGGTCTTTTATTATTTGCGTCATGTTCTCGTTGACTTCGTTGTTGCATTCATCAGTATGGAGAACAACTCTAAAAAAGTAGTCATTCATTCCATACACGAGTGACCGGCACTCACGCCCCAATATATATATATATATATATATATATATATATATATATATATATATATATATATATATATATAGCTAATAATCTATTAAGAGCAATGCCATCGCATGGGTTTTAGTTCTGCTAAGGTCTTATACTCTCTTGATGTCTCTCAGATGTGGCAATATTTGCGGTTTTTGCAGTAGTATTTGCATAAATGCTACATATGTAATGAATATGTGGGGTGTCGTTGAGGATTTTTAGGCGTGTTCAGAGGCGGCCAAATTCATTAAACGCCAGATCAAATGTTGTAGCAACACTTTCCTAATATGTCCCTTGTTTTTCCTGTACTGTACAATTCTCTTCAAAGCTTCTGCATGACTTTCTTCTTGCAGAAACAATCGGAAATAGGATTCGGCTTCAAATAAACAACGATGGCTTGATAAGCTGTAAAAAAATTTTAAAAATCTTCTAGGATGAACAATCTTGTGAACGACGTTGTCCTTCTTGAACACATTCTCAAGTAAATCTTGATTTTAAATTCTATGTATCTATCTATATATCCATATATATATATATATATATATATATATATATAGAGAGAGAGAGAGAGAGAGAAATATAGTTTTAATGTCTGCTACGTTGTCCTTCTTGAACACATTCTCAAGTAAATCTTTATTTTAAATTCTATGTATCTATCTATATATCCATATATATATATATATATATATATATATATATATATATATATATATATATCCGCTGCGTGAGCTGATAGCGTAAAGGCCAGAGACACTGATAAGCTGTGATACAGCGAAACAGACTCACTGTGGATGACTATATATATATATATATATATATATATATATATATCAGGCGGCATGAAACTGCCTGTGGTCTCTGAGTGTAGACTTCAATGTTTACTTTTATTTATATTTACATACGCACTATCTCTGATATTGAGTACTTTTATCCCATAAATGTAGCAGACATTAAAACTATATTTTCTCTCTCTCTCTATATATATATATATATATATATATATATCTATATATATATATATATATATATATATATATATATATATATATATATATATATATATATATAGAGAGAGAGAGAGAGAGAGAGAGAGAGAGAATCAATGCACAATATTCCAGTATCAAAGATGGTTGGTTTATTGTGTATTTAGCTTGTAGATTTAAAAACAAATTGTTTAAACTGTTTTTACAATACTTAATAATTCAGTACGTTTCTTATAAAACGATGAACCATCGTTTAACCAATTTGTGCAATATAATCTTCCTTTTCTGTGATTTAAATTAAAATTAATCATACTAGATATAAATAAATAATTGACCAACTGTCATTACTATTAATAAATATAAATTAAGCAAAGTTCTCTCGATACAAATGGACTGTTGCTTTTGAGAAAGTCACGTAACACATTTGCCGCATTGTCCTTTAGTATTCGGTTTGATCAATTCTATTGATTCAATGGATGACCCTGTTGACTCTTCCCTTTATTCACTCTTCACGTCGCGCTTGCTTACACAAACTTGTCCATCTGTTGACACCCGATCACCGATACATGTAGACGTTTATTGAATGTGCGCTTGCAGCTTGTGAATGTCTTTCCAAGGGATTGGGAATGGAGTAGTGGCCGGTTGTCCGCCATGTGCTTCGTCGATTCGTCTAACTACACACCAGACAACATGTTCGATTTCTAAACTTATCGAAATTGAAGACCTTACCACCGACAGACGGTGTTATGTAGAACGCTGTCAGATTAGCAGATTCACAGTTACATGTTCGATATGTCAACTAAACGAAAAACAAACTCGAATTTTCCAGACCGGACATATCTTTCTAGCTTTCTGTTTTATATCGAGGAACTTTAAATGATGGCAAGACCACTTTAAAACAGACCGAGAACAGTGGGTGATAGAGGTGGAAATAGGGGGAAATAGACACACAGTAAGATAGAGAGAAAGAAGGCAAAGTTTGTATACACATTTTACATAAATCCAATTGAATTCTCGGGAAAACTCGCTGGCTTCACTTGAGGAAAAAAAAGACGTGTACCAAAACCTTAAATTTAGATACCCGCACTAAGTCGTCATCTGTTTCTCTCAGAAGACTATGTAGAGTGTGTAGCTAATTCCTGTTCTAGATTCCTTCTCAGGCATATGATGCTGTTCTTCAAAAGACATGCAGCCAACTTGTGAGTTATGCAGAAAATATATGGAGCAGACATTAGGATTTCTGTTACATGAGCCATAATCTCTGATGAGTAAGAGTGTCCTCAAATTAACTGTCATGATGAAACGTGATTTCACACTAACACAAACATCGACTACTTCTGAACAGTTTTGTCTATCCTAATTTAACTCACAAGGCCTGAGTCAACTACTGCTATGGTTCACGAGCACTTCCCAACAATGCTGTAGTCGCGACCGTCTCCTACGCCTAATATTATCATGAAATCTCATCCTTGGAAAATGGATCATGGTTAGTTTCAGACGAGGGCATCTTGTTGAAAAAGCTAACGATCTATCTACTTACCTACTTATTTTCAGTAAACATTAATCGCAATATCTGTATATTTGAAATCCTACTTGTTTTAAACTTTCCTTCGTCTTCCTTCTCTCCTCCTCTCTATCTACCACTATATTTTCCACTTTCTATCTCCCCCTTTCTAGTAAATTCCTTTTCATTCTCACTCACTCACTCACTCACATTTTTCTCACACAATTTCTCCCACACTCTCTATGCGCCTCACACACTCGTTTCTTCTCACATTCTTCTCAGATCTCTCTTTCTTTCTCGATACTTATTAACCTTGGCTCAGTAGGCCAGGAATCGCGGGAGGAATGCGCTTCAGAATATGTCTTTACTTTAAATGGCCAAAACAAGTTTACTCTAATAAAAAAAGAAAACACTGATTAAAATCCCAACTTCCGTAGTCTTTTAATTTCCCGTGTCTATCACGAGTTAGAATATAATTTTTTCTTTATCTGTCTATATAAATGTTGCTCACAATCTATCTATTTCTGTTCCTATCTATCTATCTATCTATCTATCTATCTATCTATTCGCATCAATCTGTCCCAGTTTATTCGTATCTATCTATCTATCTATCTATCTATCTATCTATCTATCTATCTATCTATCTATCTATCTATCTATCTATCTATTAGGCACGTGCCGTCAGTAATTACTCATGGTAGACAGCTACAAGAAATAAAACATTTGTATTTTATGCAAATAAAGAGTAACCTTCATAATTTTGTTGGATGAGGTGCATATTGTGACACATGAGGCAAATGTAACTCCTGATCTCTTTTATTCGGTGTAGGCACTGCCTAACTTGCCTACCTAGAAGGCACGTCATGCTATCTGGCTACATGCATCTTTTGCCTGCCATCTTTTAATTGCTACTACTCACCGCGTTTTGATTACTGCTGTTGAAGACTCTCTGTCATTTGTCTTTATTTATTAGCGGTTCTCATATCGTAATTATTTCTAGGATGGTCCTACTAAGGAGGCATATGTGCTGATTTTTTCAAACGTCTAACACTCCAGTGAATTTCCTTGTTTAGCATTTTCACTTTATTGCCCAAGTGCTGATGACCACCTTATTTTCCTCCATACATGATCAGCTAGACCCAATTTTCTTGTCTCACATCTCACTACGGCTTTTCGATGTTCCACCAGCCCTACTTTTAGAGGGTTGCTTGTTTCGACTTTATATTCTCTGCCACAACAGCGGGAAATCGAGTAATTAATTCTTGGCCATATTCTCCCCCTTGTTAGTCTTTACTTAGCAGAGATTTCTCCGTAGAATGGAACTGTTTCTGAATATTGTCCTGGTGTTGTATGGACCACGGACATTTTGAATATTTTCCCTAAAAACCCTTGACGTCAGGTAGACAGACTGTGGCAATTTTCTTGTCATCCTTCTTGTCTGTTCTCACCTGTACACGCTGATGTCATGTTTGCCGGGTAATTGTTATTCTAAAGAATAAGTTTGATAATGATCATTTCTTGTTGGTATGTGTCTGGGACACCAATTATGATTTTTCCCGTGATTTAGGCATCGAGATGTCTATCTATCGATATATCAATCTATTAATCATCTAATCTATTTTTTGCAAATATCTTCAAATTAATATCAAAATTAAATTACAGCTCAGAATGTTGAAAACAAAATCCAAGGCTTCACTTGAAAAGCAGCACTTTAAATTTTATGAAACAGATTAATAGAATTCTGTCAGAAACATTTATGACTTAAGATCTGATTATTATAATTTGATTACGAATTTCTTATGAGACAGTTAGTGGGGAACGTTTCGGTCGTTCTCTCCTTCAGCCGTCATCAGATTTATGTCAATCAGGATAACGTACAAGGAATTCCCAACTGAACAGTCTATTTAATCTACGGATATAGACTGTTCTCCTTCCACTGTCCATCTCTAGGGATATTTGGTGTTGTTCTTATTTTTAGTAATGCTCAGTTTACCGCTCGTTCTGTTCACAAAGACTCAAAGCAAACACTGCTCATACCAGGCATTGAGCTCATAGTTAATATGTCACCAAATTCAACCTTTTAACCCACTACGCTCTTCACCCGTTGGAATTCCTTTTAGTTTACACGGACCTATATACACTTGTTGAAGGTTGGAGAGCACACTGACCTAAACATTATGATAACAACAACAAACACGTGGACAATAGTCCGCATGTAAATACTGTAAATAACCGACCAATGTATGGTAATTTTTCAAGATATATTTATTAGACAAATATTTTGTATTGTTTTCACCTCGTAAAATCTATACTTATGAAAAATATTGGTAGTAATTAGTTTGCCTCATCTTTTATTGCTCAAATTATTTAAATGCAACAAAATAGTTTAGTAAATGAATAAAACAAGCATATACTTCATTAACACAATATTCTATATAACTAAATAAATTTTATTATTTCAGATTTAGAAAAAATATGACATACTTGAAAATCTATTCTCACGCGTTTCATCCATTAGGATTTCATATTTTTCTAAATATTTTTACTTGGTATATAAAATTATATAGACTTATATGGGTATATCATTATTTCCTTATACTTTTATTGCATTTTTTACATTCTGTAAACTTTCAGCCCTTGATGTTATTGACCTTTCTAGCATTTAATTTTTAACATTGCTTGCAGCGGTTTCTATTTCTTCTCATATAATTTTGATTATTCGTTGCATATACAAACAACCATTTTACTGGTTACTTACTAGATTAATTTCTCACTATGCCATTAAATTGGTATGTTTGAAATCTATTAGTCAAGTTCGGCTGTAGTGAACTTTGAGAAATACGAATGTGTATTGTCTGGAATAAATTGACTCTTATAGTTTAAGTCTTCTTGATTGTAATCGATATCACTCAAAATGTTATCTTTTATACCTTTCACTAATTTATCTTACTGGAAATAAGCACACCATTTTATAACTTCTTAATTCTTTGTTTGAATCATTATTCGAAGAATGGACAAAACTATCACACAGCCACCAGGGACGTTCAATGGATTTCTACTGTCATCAACAGATCTTACATTTGAGAAATCAATATTTATTCTCTATTATTTTTATTCTTTAAGATGTTTAGTTAAATCTACTTGTATTGTTCGTTTCATGACTTTAACCTTTTTTTATATTCTGCGTCATTCTCATCTTTTTGTATTCGCCACATTAGCTTTATTAGAAACATTTTCTTGTTTTGTGATTTCTGGACAAGTTACTTGCAATTTATAATTTTTTGTTCTATTGCCGTGTAACTTTAAAATATTCCCCATCTGAAATCTATCTTCCTTGCGGGAAATTTTTAATCTCCGAAATAAAATTAAAAATTATATATGATTATTTACAATATAATAAATAATCATTGATTTGCATAGTAAAATCTGACACGTTGTGTTATTGAAGATATTTTAAAAGAAATATATATCATAGCACGGAAATCATATCTTATGTTAATCATGTTAATGCAAGGTCAAAATGGCAACTGATGTACAAAATGACCTCAAGACCGTTGTTAACTGGGGCAAAAGATGGCTTGTCAATTTTAAAGCCTCCAAAATTAAACTTCTCCCGACTAACCACCTGAGAGACCTCTGTTTGCCTTCCATCAGCATGACTGATGCTATCATCCAAAAAAAGTGAATCATTGCGCCTTCTCGGCTAACGTACTCGGCTGACGTGTGATAGAAAGACTACATTGAGTCCATTGCTAGATCAGTTGTTAAGAAAGTCTACTCACTCTGTCGGACGAGACAATATTTCTCTCCGGAATCTATATTGCATATCTATAAGTCTACCATTCGTCCATGCTTAGAATATTGCTGCTATATATGGTCCCGTGCTCCTGCTATTTACCTTGACCTCCTTTATAAGACCCAAAGAAGAATCAGCAATATTATTAGTCCTGATCTGATGTCTCGATTTCAGTCACTTTCCCACCGCTGTAAGGTTGCCCCTCTTTCCCTTTTCGATAAATACTTTCATGGTAATTGTTTGGATGAGCTCTTCGCTATGGTACCCTATGTTACCTAGTCTTCATGAATTTAAGAGCAGTAATAGACGGGCGTCGGTCTCTCATCAATTTACCGTTGAGCTGGCGAGATGCAGTAGTGACATCTATGCTAACAGTTTCTTTTCTTGCACTTCTCGCTTGTGGAACTCCATCCATGCTCCAAGATTTACAGTCAATTTTAATCTGCAAAAAATAAATACAATGTCAATCGCTATCTATTGTCCTCCTAATTGATCTTTTCTCTTTTCCTCATTACGAATTCTCTTCCTAATTCCTCAACACCCTGTAACTCCTTGCGTCCTAGTCGCAGTACTGCCTTGCTTCGGATGATACCGATTTAAAAATAGTATGTTCTGAAAAATTTGCCAACACCGGTTGATTAATATCATGTATATTTTGAAGAAAATAATTAAATCATATTATTTTCACTGAATAAAACGATATATTATAGTATTTAATTTAGAAATGCTTATAAAATAATTAAAGTAAATAAGGTTGAAAGAAAAAAGTAAGCTAGTGCCGCATGAACAATGAAGTGGAGACATACTGGCGGCACTCATTTACATGGGTGCACCTGATAAGAGTGTTATCGAGATTAGACTTTTAGTATAGCGTCACAGCGACAATAAAAAAAAGAAAAAAATCATACTATCATTTTGGCCATTATTGTGTTTTATTAACACATTATTGTGTCAATAAAATACATATTGATTGGAAATCATAATTTTTCAGAAAATACATATTTAACTCTTCCTCTTAAACTGTACTTTCTTTTTCTGTACTCGTTCTTTTCTATTTGGTTGATAAAAAGGTGTTTAAACGTTGATATTTGGCTGAATCCGTTCAAAATACGTTTAGACCAGCGATGAAACAAAAGCAAAAGGAATAGTTTGGCATAAAAAAAAACAAACAAAAAAACAAACTTGCTGAACTTTTTGGTTAAAAAGATACGTTTTTGTGTAAAAAAAAATTCTTAACATCATTTAAATTACGAGAAATTTGTTTTATAGGAATAAGTGCCGGGTTTGTACATAGATCGCTAGTGAGCAAACACAGGCGATCCAATTATTGGATTAAGTAGACCACGTGACCGCAGAGGAAACGTAAATGTGTCTAATTGATCGCTATTTATATCCTATCCACTATTACTATACGGATCGCTATTATAGTTTATCCTCTATCACTAGACGGACCGCTATTCTCAAATCTATTCACTATACTATTTCTCTATTCGGATCCCTATACGGATTACTATTATTGCGAGTATTATCGAACAAGTACTATTAGTGCGAGTGATATTCGAAGGCGTTTGACACCAGTATTATTCAATGGCGTACTTTTTTTTTTAAGCATTACGCCCCAAGCACGGCGTGAAGCCACTAGGATGCAGGGGTTGTGGAAGATTTGGAGCGAGAGCAGATAGGAGTGATAGAAGAAAGGATGAGGAGAAGGATAGTGGGTAGATCAAGGTAACTGGAGGTGTCGATTGACATTACATTTGAATAGTTGGAGATTATAGCTTTCAGGGAAACAGTAATTGGGAAGGGTGTTCCACTGGCGAGAGGTATGAAGCTATTGGAGTAGAAGAGACGGCTACATTTAAAAATTTCTATAGTGTAAGGGTGGGAG